TTGGCAACAAGCACCTTTATCCACTGAACCGTCTTGCTGACCCTCTTTATGGATTTTCTAGCTGAACAATCCGTCCATTTTTGAAAGTGAAGGAAAGTTCCAAACTGTCGTTACATTAATCTTTCACTGCATATAGCCAATATGAAAAATGGAAGAGGGACTGGGCCAATATCTCAGTCAGGAAAGTGCTTACTGCACAGACTGAAGCTGCTGTGCCCGTGTGAACAGGTGGGTGTGGTAGTGCGCCGTTTAATTTTGACATTAGGAAGGCAGAGACAGGCTGATCCCTGGGGATGGTTGTCAGTCAGCCAAGCTGAATTGATGAGTTCCAGAAGCAAACAGGATGGATCGTGGACTGTACCTACGTGTGTATATATGTATGTGCCTACTTTCACATACACAGGCACTTGAATGCACCAACATGTTTCCAAAAACACCAAAAGAGGGACATTATAAATTGCATAGACAATAAAAGTAACAAATATGAATGGATATGTTACAAATTTGACAACCATGATGGAATGGACCAATGTCTTGAAGGATCCAATCTGACTCGCAGAGGAAGAAACAATTTGAATATATCTCTGTTAAGGAAATTGTGCTGGTGGCTCATAACTATCCAAAATAGAAAGAACTAGCCCTAGATGACTCATTGTGGTTTCTGTCGACACTAAGAGGGAAACAATACCAATTCTCTACAGTGGAAGCAAAAGAAATGCTTTCTAATTCATTCTGTGAGGTCCTTGGAGCCCTATTCCAAAAACCAAGCATGTTTCCAGATTAAAAAAAAAAACAAAATAAAACAACTATCCTGTGTCTTCCATGAACAGGGATACAAGATACCTCAGTGTAATAAAGTCTAATGATGCATAAATAGAAACATATGTCTCAACCAGTGGGATTTATCCATCTTATATCAGGCTGATTTACCATTCTACAATGAAGTACTGTGATCTGTAACATCAGCCAACTAATAGGAAAATCAACCAATAAATACATTTGACAAAGATTCAACATCCATTCATGAGAAAGACTTAACAAAAGCAGAGAGGATGTTTTTCAGCCTATAAAGACCAGTTATCACCTGTTTAAATGGTGAGAAAGCAGGAAGCCTTTTGCTGATACTAAGAATATGAAAAGATCCACTTTTACCTCTTCTTTTCAACACAGCACTGGATGTACTAGCTGATGCATTAAGAGGAGAAAATAAAAATTAAAATATACTAACTGAGAAGGAAGAGTTAGCTATCTTTGTGCATAGAATGATTCTCTGTAGGTAATACAAAAGAATAAAATCTTTACCTAGTAAGCAATTACAGCAAGGTTACAGGATACAAGATTAGTCTGTAAAAGCCAATCATCCTCCTGTTTACTGGCATTGAACAAATATGAACAGAATTGGAAATTAAAAGGAAAATATTGGCATTAACTCCCCCAGATAAGAACTACACAGGCTTAAGTAACAAAATATGCATAAGGTTGTGTGACAAAACTCCAAAATGGAAAACACAAGGAAGAACTGGTAGAAACATTCAGTTTGATGAGATTTCATTTCTTCCCAGCCTAATCTACAGGTCCAGTGCAAACCCAGTCAGAATTCCTAACAGCATTCTAACAACATTGCTAAGCTAGTTCTGCAGTCTAATGGAGAGGTAAGGGACTCAGAATAGCCGGTGCTATACTGAACCAGGATAATATCGGATTTATACCACCTAATTTCAAAACTTACTTACTATTTTCACATATAATCAAGACATCATGGCTTAGGTGAATAAATCTGTAAAAAGATCAACAGAGGAAAATAGAAAATCCAGAAATGGACCAATGCACAGATAGTCAACTGGATAGTCAACACAGATAGTTATCAGAGTAGCATGGGCAATACAAGACAGAAAAGACATGTGGGAGGGAGGGCAGGAAAGCTTGTAAGCCTAGCACTCAGGGGACTGAGGAAGTGCAGCCAGCCTGGGCTATATGACAAAGCACTGTTTCAACAAATGGTGTTGGAACAACTACTAGCCTTCTACATGTTAGAAGAAGGAAAAGAAAGAAGGAGGAGGAGAGGAGGAAGAAGAAAGGGAGAAGATAGGAGAAGGAAAAAGAAAAAACAACCTAGACACAAATCACAGGTCATATATATTCTTCACAAAAAGTTAACTAAAAATGGATCACACATAAAGTACAACACTATAAAAAATTCTAGAAGATAATGTTGAAAAAATAGAAATGACCTTGAACTTGGTGGCAGCTTTTCAATACTTCAACAAAGGCATGGTACATGAAAGAAATATTGATAATACAGATTCCTTGATATTAAAAATTTCCAAGAAATGGGCAAGAGAAGGAAACAATAAAACACAGACTAGGAGAAAATATTTGCCACTGATGTATCTGATAAAGATCTAAACTATAAAGAGCTCTTAAAATTTAACATTTAGAGGGCCTGAGCAATGGCGTGGTGGTAGAGAGCACTTACTGCTCTACCAGAGGACCCAAGTTTGACTCCCAACACCCACATGTCAGCTCGCAACCATACCTCCAGTTCCAGAGGGTCCAACTCCCTCTTCTGACATCTGCAGACACTGTGCATGCATGTGACACACAGACATATACAGACTAAAACCGCGTATATACATAAAATATGCTAAGAGTAAGTCTTAATTTTTCAAAGATGATCAAAAGTTCTGAACAGATACATTGCCAAAGATGTGCAAGTGGCCAAGTGTATGGAAAAGTGCTGCACACCGCGTCGTCAGGGAAAGCTAGAGCGGTTCCTGTCGACATGCAGAATAGCCGGAAGTCCAAACTGCAGACAACACGAAATGCTGGGAAGAAGATGTGGCCAGCAGGGCCTCTGGTGCTTCTCTGTGACACGTGTAACTCCAGCACTGGAGAGACGGACGAAGGCAGCTCACAGGTCTGAAATCACCCTGGATTGCAGAATGAGCCCAAAATGTGTCTTCTCCATAATTCAGTAATTGGACTAGATCGGTTTTTGACTACTGAAAAGATTTTATTCTTGCTATTCAAAATGAAAATACAGTTTTAATATTAAATCTTCTATGTCATAGGTATGTTACTAATGGAGATGTCAAGATAGTGCAGATACCTGATGTGCATTCGTCTTTCTCAAATCAGATGGAGCTTCTTCATCTGCTGCAGGCAAGAGGTGCTGTGCTCCAAGCTCAGCACTGTTTCTATGCACCCCTCTTTGGAGGTTCGTCCATTCATATGGACAAAATTATTAGTCTATTTTTACTTGCGGTATTACATTCTCGGCTCTACTTTTTGACCCTTATACATAAATTTAATGTCGCATTGTTATATTCAACTGACAGCATAATTTAAATTATCCAGTCTTTTATATTTCTACTTAGTACCAAATGATGAAGGATCTACAAAGGAAATAAAATGCTTTCTACTCTAAAGAGATACGTAGTCTCACGTAGAGAAAAGTTGTGAAAAGTTGAGTAGGAGTACATAAGTGGTCATGCAAAGCAGTTCACACACACTGCACATAGATGAACTGTGCAGGTGCTTTTGTTCACCGATGCAGGATTCTGTTATAAAATATTGAAAGGCTCTCAAACTCCTGTCAGTTTACATATTAATAAAAGCAAAATATCCAAGAATATTTACATTTAATAGAAAGCAAAGATTTTGGGCTGGTTTAGTGGTTTCAGTGAGGATGGCCCCCTAGGCTTATATATTTGAAAGCTTGGTCCCCAATTAGTGGAACTGTTTAGAAAAAATTACTAGGCCTGACCTTGTTGGAGAAGGAGTATCACTGAGGGATGGGCCCACAGCAGGCCCGTGGGCTCCCTGCCTGTTACTTGTGGATCAGGATGTAAAGCACCATTGCCTCTCAGCTCCCCACCATGATGTCATGGACTCAGCCTCTGAAACTGTAAGCAATCCCCAGTTAGACGCTTTCTACTATAAGGTTGCCTTGGTTGCTGTGTCTCTTCACAGCAGTGGAATTGGAACTGAGACAATTGAGGAGATAGAAGAGTGCTTGCCATGGAAGCTCAGGGATGTGGCTCTACCCCCAGAACTCACATTTTAAAAAATAAAAAGCCAGGCGTGGTGGCACACACTGACAGGTGACTCCGAGTCTTCCTTAGCAGCCAGCTTGGCATAATCAACGAGACCCATGCCAATGAGAGACCGTGTCTCAAAGAATATAAGGTGGGTGGCACCCGAGGAGCAGCACCTGAGGCTGAGCTCTGACCTACATGCACACGTACACGTAATAGGAATTAATAAGTATTTCTTTATCTTCTGTAGCTGTCATCTTGTTGTGACTTTTTATATTTCCCCATTCATAACATTTGCTATATGATTTTTTTGGTCTTTCCTAGTATTTTGAAATTAGAGAAGTAAA